TATTTTTGAAGAACAATGGTGAGAAGACAGATGAATATCAAACAATAAAAAAAAGTGCTTTTTCTGTTTTGGAAAAATTAGATTACTCGCTCGGTTGCACCCGTTGTCGTTCGACTGGTTCCATGAAGTGTTTCTCTATCATCCATTCATCACAGACAAATTTGGACCTAAAAATTGCGAAAATTTTAGTCTCGAAACATTACCTTCGTTCTTTGTGTTTAATTTTTGCCTCATAACTCATTAAGGTGTTAACAATGTTACTAGAATGCTGCCACATGTTGGGCACAAAATGAATAGAGTCGTCTTGGGGAATTATCATGATACTTGCATACTGCTCATCTGACTGTTTAAATGACCACGAAAAAACACTTTTACAAATGACGAAGCAATCTCTCACATATAGTTCCGGATTCCATCCGGCATAATGACCACACAGTTTTGTCCTTTCTTCAACGAACGACACTCCTGTAGTGCTGCAAACATGTTTGATCCAGAACTACCACCGACCAGTAAACCCTCTTCACGGATCAATCGCCGAGCCGTTCTGAAAATTTTCTCACTTTTAAATACTTATCTATGATAATCAAGAACAGACAGAGTGGTCTTGGGAAATATCATGATATTCTTCAGAATGTATTCCATTTTATCAGCATTATTCAAAATTTCATAATTTAGTCGGATTTCAGCCCCTTCAAACTAACCAATAGGGTAAGTAGCGGCTTCGTGCTTACATGCTGGCACATGAAAGTTTTGGCGGGGAAATTGCTCACCGAAGAGCTAAATTACTTTTAAGGAATGGCCATTAAACGGAAACTGTTCATTTTTTTCTTTCTGCAAAATTTACAATGACTTACGCTAGTGAGTACACAAGCGAGCGCAAACCCACGAATCAAATGGAAAGATTCGTTGCTGCTGCAGAATTACACTGTTTACTTCTAGCTATGAATTTCGCAAAAATTTAACCTAGTTTATTTATATAAGGTCAGTATATTGGAAAAATATTACTTGAATGTGTCAGGATCCTTGACTTTTACCCATTTATCGACTTCCTTAAAATCGAGTGTTGCTGGCACAAAATGATATCCGATGCCTTCGACCTCAAAGAATCCCTCCTTCTGCTCGCCCGCTTTATCACCCAAAATCGAGCCTTCGGGATCTGCGCCAATTACCTAGAAATTTTGTGGCGAAAAATGATTAGAATCCCAAAGAACACTTGCGGAGTTGTTTAAATTTTACAGGAACAAATTTCCAATCAGGAAAACTTCTGAAAAAAAAGCAATAAAATATTAGT